AGTATTCGGGTGATTGGGAACGTGGGTGAGTCACATGACTCTGGTTAGGAGTCACGTGGGAGTCAGAGGCATCATGGGAGTTGGAGTTCTGTTCGGCTTGGGAACTGAAGGGAAGCGTGACAGAATGTTTATTCATAGCATATTTGAGTAATTAACTGTCCAGGTAGTAAAGTGACATGCTACCAACATTGATAAGTGATTCATAGCATTTTAAGAGATGTTTACACACCATGGAGTAAAGTGACTTACAATTAAAAGTCTACAATTATTTCCCCAACCTTTGCAGCAAAATCCAAGCCCAGCCATGAAAAGAGACTTAGTTGATAAACAGCACCATGAGGAATGTCCTTATTTTATTGGCAAGACAGACGTCCGCTGAGGAGGCCCTTGTAAAATGTACCATCCAAACCCAAATCAGGAAACCCCAAACTCTTGACTTTTGAACATGAAACCACAAAGTACAAAGATGTGTCTGCAAAAATGTAAAATTCTTTTCTAAAATGAAAATATCATCACAATCCACAGCCTTGTTACTCCGGAGTAACTTTGACTAATTTTGTACTTGCATCAACATAAATTTCTCCTTTCAAACTGAAAACATGTTACTGCTGAACAATACACTATAATTGAAAAATTCCATAAAGCGATCTTTGAATGATGCCATAGAAGAAGGACATTTGGTTTTCTGAAGAACTATGTTTGATAAAAAGATCTTTGCGTGAGAACAGCAATTTTAAGGTGTATAGAAGCAAATCCTATACCATTTTAAGAGTTCTTTCTAGAACATTTACTTTATGTGGAAGTTCATTAAACTTTAAAAAAGGTCTTTACCTGCATACATGTCATGGACAAAAGTCATTCTTATACATCTATTAAACCAAAATGGTTCTTTGATGACATTGTGCAGAGAAGCCTTTTTAGCACTTAAGAACCTTGCCTCCTTTCCAGAGTATGATACTGGTAGCAATAATTATCTTCTCAATGATTTTTTCTGTGATGGCTGCCCGACAATGAGCTGCAAATGCTGCTAAATTTATTCCTGGGGTCAGTCACAGAATGTTATGAAACAACGGGTCAAGGTTGCATTGCTTAATCACTCAGACACAATTACATACTATACAAAGGCAAGGAATAAAAAAATTCTCCTTGAAAAATCTTTGAACAACTTTGTTTCATTTAAAGTAATTCTCCATAATACTCTATAGCAACATCCCCAATAAATTGCAGCTTCTTTACTTTCTACATAGTTTTTGATGATTCTTAATGTTACAAACCGGTCTAGGTCAGGCCGCAACATAAAAATAAAGAGGCCTCTGTGCCCTCCCGGTTCCCCAAGTCACACATACAACCAATTTTTGCAACAATAACAATTTGGCTCTATTTTCTAAAGTTCAGTGCTTAAGACATTTATGAAACATAGGGGGAGGGAAGGGTAAAACAACAAACAAAACATAGCTTACTTAAGTTTAGAAAAATATAACTTACCTAACAAACAAAAAGAAAATCAACCTATCATCCCAACTAAAGCAAACCAGGACAAAAAGACAACAAAAAATAACCCCCTTTTTCCCCCAATGAGAGTTTATGTACAAGAGCCGTGTCTGGGCAGCCACGGTAGCTGAGTGTTTACAGTGTACTTCAATGAAAGTGTTACAATATGAGCTAGCTTTACGAACATCTCAACGACAAACAACAAAGCACCAATAAACCATACACCACTAGCCAAGCTCTCCCACCAACACAGCTCTACAGCAGTAGAGTCGCTCAAGTGACTGCAGGGAACTGGGAACACAACAGAAGCCACACCAGAAGCAAAAGCACCACACTTCCTCCTGGGCGTCTCTCTTTTATTGGCGGCTCCCCCTGGTGGTGGCTCAGTGCATCTTCCCTCAGCTCTGCAATAAATACAGAAGACACACTACAAAAAAAAACACTATGACCCACAGGGTCATAACATTAATAATTGTATAATTGTATAGATTAATGAATGCTACCAATTGAAATGATAAATTACCCAATATGCTTTTAAGTTATGCACTCCTAAAAATTAAGCATACAACCAATTAATTATAATAAAAATTGTATGTCATGAGCCTGGGATTGGTTGACTTATTAACTATTTGTTATCTTGCTAATAGGTTTATTGTAAATACATATTTTCCTGTTGATGATCTTTTCATTAAGAATCTGTATAACATTTCCCTTACTTCTTTCAAGGAGATATTATCTTTCTCATGTGACCACTCACATAATATGTTCATATTAAATTAGGATAGCTTTAATTTAATTTACTGTTTACCTTTCAGTAAAAAATCAAAACATTTTTTTAACTCAAAGAAAATCTTTCAATGCAAAAAGAATGTGAAGGTCAACTTACAATAATGAGGTAAATAGTTACTCATAATTTTTTATTTAACTCAACATAGTTTAACTAAAATTGATCCTAACTCACACTTTTTTAGCTCTGAATCTCAATAAGGTCAAAAATAAAATTTAAGTTGAGCCTATTTAAAAACAATTCTCAACGTGCTGCCTCTTTTAGTTTAATCAGTCAATACCTGCTGCCTGCCAAAAAAGGCTAGATACTGCTTTTGACTTGATTTAGTGGCAAAGTTAACTTAAAAGTTAAAAGTTAAGTCCAGCGCACCGTGAGAGCAGCTGAGAAGATCGTTGGCACCTCCCTCCCCTCCCTCCAAGAGATATACAGCTCTCGTCTTACCCCTCTGCATGGCAGGTGATCCCACTCACCCACTACACAGCTTCTTCAGCCTGCTGCCATCAGGGAGGAGACTGAGGAGTCTCCGGGCCAGGACCACCAGTCCACCACTCCCCAATACTGAACTCTGACAGTAGTGGTCAAACACAGGTTCCTGACCCCCACTCCCCAATACTGAACTCTGATAGTATTGGTCAAACACAGGTTCCTGACCCCCACTCCCCAATACTGAACTCTGACATTCTCAGGGACTGTTATGCATCCAATACTTTGTTATGCATTCATCACTTTAACTGCTCCATAAGTTCATTCCAATTTACACTACTGTTTATATTTGCACTATTTATACCCACAGACCTTAATCTGTATGTGCCTCATGTCACTTTAGTGTTAATTTCATGACCTTCTATATTTATATTATTATTATTATTACTATTTTTCTACAATTAGTGTCCATTTTGTTTACGATTAGTGTTTAGTGTTTACTAAAGACTAGACTTCGCTTGAATTATGAGGGTAACTGTTTTGAAGCATTTGGGAGCAGAACAGAGTTCCAGTGGTTTGTTGAAGATGTGAAAATTGGTGCTAGTTGGTCCCAGCAGTGCTTTAGGGTGGATGGAGAGACTAAGTGAGGTGCCAGGGCTTTTCTCACCTTCTGTCTGCTGAAAAGCCTGCTAATGTGTTTATTGATAGTGGGATGAGCAGAGGGCAGAGGTGAAAGCGCCAGGGTGGGGGAGAGGTGGGGAGGGGACTGGCAGAGAGAGGCTGAAGATTGTCCTTTATGTCTTTAAGTCTGCAGTATAAGTTATTCAAGTCTTTGGCAATCGTTCAGAAGGGGGTCTATCTCACCTTGTAGCTGAAGATCTCTTAGAGGTGTTTGGAGTTGCATGCCATGATTTTTGTACTAAACAGTAAAAGAAACAACCACATTCAATTTATTTACATAGAAACTGAGTAAATATATGTAATTTCAAGTTTATTTATCATTTGCACAACATGACAGGACATTCATGCATTGAAATGCTTGTGGTGAGGCTCAGGTAATCACTCTACAGAAGTAAACAAAGTAAAAATTGAAATACAAAAAAATACTGAAACTGAAATATATTAAATATACACAAAATATAGAAACAGAAGGGACCTATGTAAGTAAAAATGTACTGAGAGAAAGAATAAATTTAATCAGTTAGGGAATAAAAGTGAAATTAATTTGGCATGTCACATGAATAGAGTTCACCTCTTTAAAACTGTTTTTTTGTTTGTTTGTTTTTTGACAAAGTATTAATCGGTATAAGTGAATGACCACCAGAAAATGTTATTTTCCACCTCAGGCTGTTAAATCAGAGACTATATGAGCTTTTTTGAAAAGTATTTTTTGCAATCCTGTTACAGAATTTTAGGGAGATGTATAAGTGCCATTTAAAAGCCTCTTTTAATTCATTATTAAAAGAGGACATAACTAATACAAGAAAAATAAACTACCATATATATTTTGTCCAGACATTTCTCTGCTGCAATATGATTATTAAATGTGTTCCGACATTCTTATTCCTTTATTTTATGTTCTATTTGTGTAAATTGCTGCAGTAAATAAAGCTGCTCTTACGAACTTTTAACCAGTAATAGTGCAGGAGGTGGGGTTTGGAGGAATACGGGTGGGATTAGAAAAATAACGCCCCCAGATCCACATTGATGACGTCGTTGGGGGCGCTAGTTCTGTAACGGTGCTTCTCCAAAGACAATAAAGTGGAGAAGAAGAAGAGCTCTGCGGTATTAGAGAGAAACAGGAGCTGATCTGCTGAAGGTAAAGAGAGTTTATCACTTTTTCACTCTGTTTACACTGTTTATAACTCACTCTTACAGAAATAGAGAGAAACAGGAGCTGATCTGCTGAAGCTAAAGAGCTGTTTATCTCTTTTTCACTCTGTTTACACTGTTTATAACTCACTCTTACAGAAATAGAGAGAAACAGGAGCTGATCTGCTGAAGGTAAAGAGCTGTTTATCACTTTTTCACTCTGTTTACACTGTTTATAACTCACTCTTACAGAAATAGAGAGAAACAGGAGCTGATCTGCTGAAGGTAAAGAGCTGTTTATCTCTTTTTCACTGTTTACACTGTGTTTATAACTCACTCTTACAGAAATAGAGAGAAACAGGAGCTGATCTGCTGAAGGTAAAGAGCTGTTTATCACTTTTTCACTCTGTTTACACTGTTTATAACTCACTCTTACAGAAATAGAGAGAAACAGGAGCTGATCTGCTGAAGGTAAAGAGCTGTTTATCTCTTTTTCACTGTTTACACTGTGTTTATAACTCACTCTTACAGAAATAGAAAGAAATAAACTTCAGTTTCTATACTGATTAATTTTTATGTAAGTTACTGAGTAATGAAGCTGATACGTTTGTAGTTCTTCTGAAGTTTATTTTACTGCTACTACTTTTCTGTTAGATACATTTTACTTCTTGTGTCATTGTTTCATTGAAGTAAATGTTTTTAGGTTTGGGTGGTGGTGAGGGTTCTGCGTAAGTTCTCATGGGGGACCGTTGTATGCAATTTCACTCACTCAGGTGAGTAATGTATGTGTTTACTAAGTTTATGTTAATGCATTACTAAATCAGAACAGGTTGCATCACACAAGTTAGTTTTTATGTCAAATTTTTCTAAATATTTACATTTCCCCTTAAGAAGGTGATGCTGATTTGACTTCCAAATCCAAATATGAAACATCCATAGCTTCGGTTCAGTGAGACCATAGCTTACATCCACAGATCCAGCTTCCTTTACTGTTGTTTACTGAGGGTCATAAACCTCATGGAATATAGATTAATTAAATTCACCCATTCAGATAAAACTAGGGTGACTGATTTGAGACTATGAATTGCCACACCCTCTTCCACATTAGATTAATATTGTCTTTTTTTAGGGTGAAGAACCAGTAGCCAATGGCTTTCTCTGCATATCACACAGTTCACTGTAGCTTACACTTTCTGAGTGTATTTTTTTATTTTTAGGAAAACCAGTTCTGGGACATAGAGGGTCATGGTCACCCACTTTCTTCTCTTGATGATGGGGAGAGGGGTCGTAGGAGGTGTGAATAGGCTGCAGACAGGGTGTTGTAGACTGACTGTAGTTCAGCGGGAGGGAGGCAGAAGATCTTTGTTTTAAATCTCTGAAGTAAAAGATATTTAGCTGGTTTGCAGCATCTGAGGCTTCTGGCTGGTGGTTAGTAATGATCTGGTGATGAAGGAACTGTTACGTCAACTTTTACTGTTTATCTCTATCTGCATTTGACAGACTTGACTTTCTTGTTGACTGCATGTTTAGCCCTTTGATATGGTCAGCACTCCATTAGCTTCTTCCTTGGCTGTGCATAGTCTCTCCAAGTCAGTGGATAACCGGGGTTGATTGTTGTAAATGTAAATAGTTTTTTGGGATGCACGTTTCCTCGCAGAAGCTTATATTAGAAGTGGCTGCACCTCTCAGTAATGTAAATACAGCAGCACAGTCTTTGGTGAACTAGTATTAAAGCACTCACTTAACGGCAGTTTTTAAGTTCCCAAAATGTTAAAACTTCAAATGCAGTAAACCAGGGTTTCTCAACCTGTGGGCCGTAAAGCACCCTGTAGTGTTCTCGGGGGGAGGTGGTAATTGGCGACCTATGACGACTATCACTGTCAGTCATAAAAGTGGAAAAAGATTAGTAATAAAGAATCAAAGAATCAAACATTATCAAATTATAACCAGTATACGTATAAATAAAAGCATTGTAAGAGTAGCCTAAATAAATGTCATCTGTTTGAGACAACACAGCCACTGGCACTCGATGCAGACAGTTAGTGAGCCAGAAATGGAGATGTTTCTCAGGGCACATTCACACCTACCTTGCTTGGTGTGGACCTATTCAATTTTTTTCTTTAGTTTGCTCAGTTTTGACATCTGTGAACACTCCACTCATACTCAGGTCTGCAACAGACAGGTGAACCAACTTGGCAAGAACATGGGTCTTGATCCGTTTCCAAACAAAGCTTAGTTCAGTTCACTGCTGGTGGGAATGCATTCTATGATGAAATGAGGGCATTCATCAGTAGAGCTTGCTTTCCTCCCGTTCTAGCAGCACACCAAATCTGTACTTTCAGCAAAATCTGCCTGTTTAAATATTTAACTCTTTACAGACTTTCAGTAAAATAATAGTGAAGAAATGTTTGATATTGGCTCGTGGATTGCAACATACTTTGGACCTCACTGATTAAATTCAAACTTATAAATTTGTCCTATAAAAGCAGATATCAAAAGTTGTTGTTATTATTATTATTATTATTATTATTATTATTATTGACTGGGACGATGCTATACCAAAAGCCTGGTGTGTGCAATGTGGTTTGGCTATTTCAAATGAATCACGAAACCCCTCAAAACTAAAGAAACATCTCGAGACCCAACAATTACTCTTGTTGGAAAGCCAGTGGAGTGTTTATAGTGCAAACAAGATAGACTTCAACTGCAATTGAAATGGACAATCTGATCATTTTCAGTCCTTGATTATCAGGTTGTTACTTTGATGTAGCCTCTTCTTGCCACCATAACAGCAATGAGTCTGTTCTCCTCAAATGCTTGATAAGACTGGAGAACAGAGCAAACAAATATCAGATCACTCAATACAAATCTCTCCAGGTCCTCCAGGGTTCTACCTCCTCTTTTTCGACTCTCCCCTTCAGCTCAGCTCTTTTTTTTTTTAACCCTTTTTGTGTCACACAACAGGGTCCCTTGGGCCATTGGATGGATAGACATACTCAAAACATCACCAATCCTACACTATATTTAACTGTGGGCATGAGGTTCTTCTTCCATGCAGGTTCACTACAGCTCTGGTTGTTTTAAACTACTTAATCATAGTCGTAACAGTGGATATAGGCTTTTTAAGTGTTTCCCTATTTTTTATTTTTGTAACCACTGCTTGATACAAGTAGGTTAATGTGGACTTTACATTGTTTTGAGAACACACAAGGATGGAAAGTGTGAGTCAAGCTTGTAACGCATTGTAGTATGAATAGAAGTGTCTGTAGTATGTAGTAGAGTGTCTGAAACCTTTCATGACTATAGAATTCAGGGCAGCTGGTCTGTAGACATCCAGGCAGGAGATAATCTGTTTTTTAGGAACTGATATGATGGCAGAGGTCTTAAAACAGGCAGGTACATCACACCGGTGTGATAGGAACTATTAGATTACATCGTCTCTAACAATCTGTCAACTTAGTAAAAGATTGTTTTGTTGACAAACATTTTTATTTTATTCTGTTATGCGCTTTAATTCCTGATTAACCAATATTATTTTTCCTCCCTTGTTCTCCTCCAGAATGATATTCTTTTGCAAGTCTCCGGCTCCTTGTGATCACTTTCCTGCAAATTTTTGAATACAATCCACAAATACATCATGAACCTGCTGAAATAAGGAAAGATTGAATATGACAAGATGGTGTCCAGAAGATCCAGTACTCAGAAAACATCTGCTGCTCTTCACCTGAAGACACCTCGCAGACCAACAGAAAAGATCACAGGCAAAAAAAAAAGTCACCACTGCTCAGAGTGTGGAAAGAGTTTTACTTCACAGTGCCGCCTCCAAAGACACCAGCGCATTCACACAGGAGAGAAACCGTATCACTGCTTGGAGTGTGGAAAGAGTTTTACTACACAGAGAAGTCTCCAAAGACACCAGCGCATTCACACAGGAGAGAAACCGTATCACTGCTTGGAGTGTGGAAAGAGTTTTACTCTACAGATTAGTCTCCAAAGACACCAGCGCATTCACACAGGAGAGAGACCGTATCACTGCTCGGAGTGTGGAAAGAGTTTTACTCTACAGATTAGTCTCCAAAGACACCAGCGAATTCACACAGGAGAGAAACCGTATCACTGCTTACAGTGCGGACAGAGTTTTAATATAGAGAGTAATCTCAAAACACATCAGCGCATTCACACAGGAGAGAAACCATATCACTGCTCAGACTGTGGAAAGAGTTTTACTGCACAGGGTCATCTCCAAAGACACCAGCGCATTCATACAGGAGAGAAACCATATCACTGCTTAGAGTGTGGAAAAAGGTTTAGTCAACAGAGTCATTTCCAAACACACCAGCGCATTCATACAGGAGAGAAACCGTATCACTGCTCAGAGTGTGGAAAGAGTTTTGCTATACAGAGTAGTCTGCAACTACACCTGCGCATTCACACAGGAGTGAAACCGTATCACTGCTTTGAGTGTGAACAGAGTTTTACAAGTCAGAGTCATCTCCGAAGACACCAGCGCATTCATACAGGAGAGAAACCATATCACTGCTCAGACTGTGGAAAGAGTTTTAAAGAAAGTAGTTCCCTCAAGAAACACCAGCGAATTCATACCTGAGAGAATATTTATCACTCCACAGAGTTATTCAAAGTTATTCAGGTTTTAAGACGTGCACATGATTTGATAAATATATATATATATATATATATATATGATTTTGAGCACCAGCACATTCACAAAGGAGAGAAACCGTATCACTGCTCAGAGTGTGGAAGGTGTTTTAGAGAAAGCAGTGCCCTCAAGAAACACCAGCGCATTCACACAGGAAGGAAAATGTATTATTGAGTGTGGGAAAAGCTTCTATCATTTAAATTTAAAGACACACGTGTAATAGTTAAAAAAAGTTTTTGTTGTGTTTCAAAGGAAAATACAAAATTTATTTTAAACTTCCCTTTATTATTGTTATTTTTTCCACAAATATTGAGATACATGCAAAATTTAAACACAGTTTTCTATCAAAATGCTTATAATGGAGATAAATAATGAGGGAGAGAAATGAAAAAGGACAGTTGAGAACTGACCTGGTCAGCCTGTTTAAATCTTTGTAAGAAGCCATTCCCAGTATACATCCAAGCCTCCTCCCAAGCATGTGGTGTCTGACTCATTCATGTAACCAATTGGATATGAATCAATTAAAACGTTATGATGTTTAATTTTGGATTACATTTGCTCACTTTTTTTTCTTTTTTTGTATTTGGATTGTCTGTTTTGGTTCGAGTGGCCTTGTTTTCCTTTGATGTGGTTCATGTATTTAGCAAATGAAATAAACGGCTTTACACATCCCCATTTGGAGTTTTGTTTTCTACGTTGTCATTTAATTGGCTTTGTGCATCAACCAAGATATATTCACTGGTTGCCACTGCTCACTATGTCTCAAAGGCCTATAGCACCATTATGTGGAGACAAACTTCTAGGATCAATAGAAATGCACATGGAATTAACTGTGGTCTTCCTACCTTCAGTCTTGCTAAAGTAGGTCGTCTGAACACACGCTCCTTTCCTATAGGGAAGTGCTTTAACACTTGTGCACTTTTTGCCTAACCTTTCAGTTTCTTTTTAATTATTTGTTTTTTCTTAAGCATTTGTATTTTGCACTTTGTTATTCATTCTTCTCCCCCTGATCCAGAAGAATAAGCAGTTTGGAAAATGTGTGTGTGTGTGTATTTTTTCTCCTGTTCACTATGTCTTCTTTAAAATGTTATTATACAAGAGAATTAATCCAACAGTCTGTACATTGTTAAGGAAAACATTATTTATTGTAAGTTTAAGTCTCTTGGGGTCAAATGCTATCACTGTCATCACAAGGATAGTTTAGAGGGTTTTTTTTTTTAAGTGATGGTCTTCCTTAAATGTTATATGCACCGTTTTTTGCATTACTTCAAAGTATAATCAGGTTACAGCTGCCATTCATCCAGTGATATGTAGTAACTCTTCAACTTTCTTCTAATTTTGTAAGAAATTTGCTTTATAAACAAACATATCTTGCTTTGCATTTACCTCAGAAGTGATGGAAGCCATGTCAACCTGACTGAAATGCATGTTATGTGGATCTTTAAAATGCAATGCAATGTGGTCTAATTACCTTCATATGATTATCCAGCATCTACAGGGAATGGATGGGAATTATAGCCCTGCCATACTAAGTTTCAGACTTTAAGTCAAATGTTTGTTAATAGCATATTTGAGTAATTTACTGTCCATGTAGTAAAGTGACATGCAAGCCAACAGTAAGTAAGTAATCCAGAGCATTTTAAGAGCTGTTTACACACAATGGAGTAAAGTGATTTTCCAATAAAAGTCTGCAATTATTTCCCCAACCTTTGCAGCAAGATCAAAGCACAGCCATAAAAAGGGACTTTGTTGATAAAAGTCCTTATTTTATAAGCAAGACAAATGTCCACTGAGGAGGCCCTTGTAAAATGTGCCGTTCAAACCGTAATCAGGAAACCCCAAACTCTTGGATTCTGAACATGTACCTTTGACTAATTGTCTATTTATTTTGCATCAACATAAATTTCTTATTTCAAAATGAAAACATGTTACTGCTGAACAATACACTATAATTATAGAAGAAGCAAATTTGGTTTTCTGAAGAACTATGTTTTATAAAAAGATCTTTGGGTGAGAACAGCCGTTTTAAGGTGTACAGAAACTAATCCTGTTCTAATTTAAGAGTTCTTTCAAGAACATTTACGTTATGTGGAGGTTTTAAACTTTAAAAAGGTCTTTACCTGCATACATGTCATGGACAAAAGTAATTCTTATACATCTATTAAACCAAAGTGGTTCTTTGATGACATTGTGCAGAGAAGCCTTTTTAGCACTTAAGATCCTAGCTTCCTTTCCAGTGTATGATATTGGTAGCAATAATTATCTTCTCACTGATTTCTTCTGTGATGGCTGCCTGACAACGGGCTGCAAACGCTGCCATCTTCTCCTGATCTGGATCCCATTGTGGAATAGAGTCAAAAGCCTCAGGGCATGGAATGTGCAGCTGAGCGATTGATGTGGTTCTTCAGATGTTGTTCCTACCATCAGCATTTCAAAGGTTCTTTTCATAAACCCAATCTTCTTATATTTCTTCAGAGCTGTACCTCTCTAGGACAACTATAGCGGTCTTCACTAGAGAAAGAAGGCACAAAAGAAAAACATTTTAGCAGAACCAAGAGTAGCAGAGTGTTTGGTGCTGAAAGTACTTGACCATAACCCAGTATTTTTCCCAGTTAAGTGATTATACTAACTTATATAACAACCGCATGCCAAACTCGTGACACAAGCTGCATGCCTTTTAATATTTTCCGTTATTAAATTAATTGAAGATTTAAGATTTATTCCTGGTGTCAGTCACAGAATTGTATGAAACAAAGGGTCAAGGTGGCATTTCTTAATCACTCAGACACAATTACATACTATTCGAAGGTAAGGTTCTTCTGTTGTGATGATATATGCTTTTGCAGCATACCAGAGAATATTAGGAATATTAGGAGCCACTTCATTATTTTGTTCTATATAAGTTATGTCTTTTTCAATTTGTTGTAGTATTTTATCATTATTCAAGATACCCAGGTTAAGTCTCCATACTTTATTTTTGGGTTTATTGTTCAGTTGTATTGTCAAATATACTCCTGAATGATCTGATATACTGTATCAGAGACACCTATTGAGAAATCTGTAATTTTATATCTGAATCAAACAGTATAAAGTAATCAGTTCTTAAGTATACCTTATGCCTCGCTGAGTAATACGTATACAGTCTTCCTGAAGGGTATAACTTTCTCCATACATCTATCATGCCCAATCCTTGGAGTATATTATTAGTCTGTGGGTTAGCTTTTACTACTAGAATCTGCGTAAAGTAGTATATTCATATCCCCTCCACAGATTAACATTCCATATTATTCTGTAGACACTAGATCAAAAACTCTTTTAAAGAATGTTTTTTTTACTACCTGCACAGATATTAAACAAAGTCACTTCCTCATGATTTAATTTCCCTTTTACCCATACTTCCCTTATACTTTGTTTGAGAAATATACTCAAAGTATATTTATATAGTACTTTGTTTGATATTAAATTGCAACTCCCCTTTTCTGTCCCGATTTGTAGGAGTAAAAAACTATTATGGGTCCCCATTTTCTTAAAATTTTCATGTTCTTTATCCGATAAATATGTTTCTTGCCACAATACAATTTGTATTATTTCAGCAATTGATTCACTCCTTTTGATTGCACTATGCAACTCATTGACATTTAGTGAAATTCTGAAAATCTGTCAGATCAAACACCTGGACATATGCATACACCCATCTATCCTTTGACAGCCATTTAAACTTTGCACAATAAACATTCAAACAAAAAGAAAAAAGGACCCTGAGGAAAAAAGGCTTTCACTATCGAGGTTTGCAAAAGACCTTTTTTTGAAGGGGTACGTTTCCTCTTTCCCAAAGAAGGCCTTTCTCAGAAACATCTCTATTACTAAACTGCATGTCCCAGTCACTTCTATACTTTAATATGTGAATGTGTACACAAGAGAAACAGATAATTTCTTAACAAATCTGAAAGAGGTGGAATTATTATCTACTCTCAGGTATGCCTTACTCTATAAGAGTCTTACTATAAGATTTGAATGGCAATCTAATACGGTTTGGCTTCCACTTACTATTACCTAAGAGTCCGAAGGACAGTCAGCCCCCCAGCATTACTTGTTGGAAACTTCGTAGCTTTTCCCGAATCTGTTAATGACAAACTTGTCGGAGGGCACGTGCTTTGTCCCAGTTGAGACGTTTGTGTCTGTCTTTCTTGTGAAGATCCATTTGCAATCTCTCAATTTCGAATCCTTGTTTCCTCATATCAAGCTTACAATGTCTATGTTCACATTACAAGTCTCATTTCTTAATTCTGATTATTTTCTCCAATCAAATCTTTCCAACCCAATGGTTCACATTTGTGTAGGTGAGTCAAATCTGACATTAATGTCAGTTGTGACACTGGCATCACAAATTCAGAGGTTGCCGGCATGGTTGCCTACCTGCAACCTAAAACTATAAAACACACCTATAACACGTTTACCTAACTTCTCCACTTCCACCACAGTAGGAGGGCATCTGCACCCCTCCGCCTCACCTGACAGAGTCAGATGGACCCATAAACAAAGATCAACCACCAAATTCTAAAACAGTGCCTAAACAGTAACACTACTAAAACTGTCACAAAACAGGAACACTGAAGTGAGCAGTTATTTTCACTGATCATTCCTGAGATAACAGTTAGCATTAACATCTATCTAACATCCTGACAACCTCCTCAACCTCTCCACACTTCACCAGCTCACTAAAATGCCAAATTACAAGACTAAAAGATTAGATTAAAGATTAAGCAACCCTTATTAGTCCCACAACAGACCTCCTTTTATTTAGGCTCCTCTCTCCAACCGCACAAGCCAAGCCTCTGATTGGTCTGAGATCCTTCTCACCTTAATTCAGAACCATCTGCAACAGTTTGCACTCTGTGGAATTAGACCTCTGCATTTAACCCATCTGTGTAGTAAAACACTCACATACATGTACACTAGTGACCAGTGAGCAGACTTGCCCAGGGTGGTGGGCAGCCCTATCCACGGCACCCG